TGCCAATAACATATCAGATAAAGGGCTAGTATCCAAAATCTATAAAGAACTTATCAAACTCAACACCCAAAGAACAAATAATCCAATCAAGAAATGGGCAGAAGACACGAACAGACATTTTTCCAAAGAAGACATCCAAATGGCCAACAGACACATGAAAAAGTGCTCAACATCGCTCGGCATCAGGGAAATCCAAATCAAAACCTCAATGAGATACCACCTCACACCCGTCAGAATGACTAAAATTAACAAGTCAGGAAACGACAGATGTTGGCGGGGATGTGGAGAAAGGGGAACTCTCCTACACTGTTGGTGGGAATGCAAGCTGGTGCAACCCCTCTGGAAAACAGTATGGAGGTTCCTCAAACGGTTGAAAATAGAGCTACCATACGATCCAGCAATTGCACTACTGGGTATTTACCACAAAGATACAAATGCAGGGATCCGAAGGGGTACGTACTCCCCAATGTTTATAGCAGCAATGTCCACAATAGCCAAACTGTGGAAAGAGCCAAGATGTCCATCGACAGATGAATGGATAAAGAAGATGTGGTATATATACACAATGGAATATTATGCAGCCATCAAAAGGAATGAGATCTTGCCATTTACAACGACGTGGATGGTACTGGAGGGTGTATGCTGAGTGAAGTAAGTCAATCAGAGAAAGACATGTATCATATGACCTCACTGATATGAGAAATTCTTAATCTCAGGAAACAAACTGAGTGTTGCTGGAGTGGTGGGGGGTGGGAGGGATGAGGTGGCTGGGTGATAGACAGTGGGTAGGGTATGTGCTATGGTGAGTGCTGTGAATTGTGCAAGACTGTTGAATCATAGATCTGTACTTCTGAAACAAATAATGCAACATATGTTAAGAAAAAAGAAAAAGAAGAAGATAGGAGGGGAAGAATAAAGGGGAGAAGTCAGTGGGGGAGACGAACCATGAGAGATGATGGACTCTGAAAAACAAACTGAGGGTTCTAGACGGGAGGAGGGTGGGCGGATGGGTTAGCCTGGTGATGAGTATTAAAGAGGGCACATTCTGCATGGAGCACTGGGTGTTATGCACAAACAATGAATCATGGAACACTACATCAAAAACTAATGATGTAATGTATGGTGATTAACATAACAATAAAAAATTTTAAAAAGAATTTTAAAAAGACATTTTAAATTTTATTTAAGGCATTTGAAGCATGAAGCAGTGTTTGAAATTCCTGCATAATACCTTACACTGCCTTTGTCTCAACATTTTTGAGTAGTCAGGATCTAAAATATATTTAGAATTTGGGCAGAAAAGTAATATCTAAAAACCTTAAACTGAGAAAAGCCAACTGAGTTAACACTAGCAGGGATACCAGTGTTGCCCATGTATTTTCACCGTGTCAGGAGAACCTCTTGTACCCCCAAAGTTACTGCTGCTGTATACAGGCAAGTCAGGCTTTCCCTTACAGGCAAGTCACGCTTTCCCTGAGCTCCAGCTTTGAATCACTCCATTTATGAATTGCTGCTCCTGTCATACTTGTTTAGATACTCTGGATGCTTTTCATAACCCATCTGTCATAATGTCTTTCTCTAACTGGGAAGAAGCTTAGACCTCACCTGGTCGTCTCGTCTGGTTTTCAACTGAGCCCTAATTGTGTCTTTATACTATTCCTGCACCCTGTGTGAAATCTGAGTTGTTAGAAGATGAAAATCTGAAATTTCCTTAATCCGATATTCATACTCATCTGGGATAAGAAGTACAAAGCACATAATTGGGAATGTTGTACTTCTTTTACTTTCTCAAAGCAACCCAGTATTTTTTATGGTATGTAACGCTGACTGAAAGAAATGAGCTCTCCATTGACCACTTATCAGTCAAGGTTCTCCAGAGTAACACAACCAACAGGACATCATACATAAGGAGATTTATTTTAAGGAATTGGATCACTCAAGTGTGAGTGCACACAAGTTGAAATCTGTAGGGCAGGTTGGCAGGCTAGAAATTCAGCGGGAGTTGCACTAGAGTCTTAGGGCAGAACTTCTCCAGGAAACTTGTTTTTGTTCATAAGGCCTTTATCTGTCCCTATGCCCTTTTCTTTACCTTTCTTTTTTACCTGTTTACTTATGTACATTTCTAGGTATTGTTTGTAACAGGACCCTAAGACCCTCCGGAGTAAGGACCAGATTTTATTTTACTATTGTTTCTCTTCAGTATCTAGCAGAATCAGTATTTATAGTGAGTTTTCTATGTGTTGGAGACTTTGTGCCAGGCAATGAGAATTACCTTGTTAATTCTTTTTTTTTTTTTTTAAGATTTATTTGAGAGCGAGTGCATGAGAAGAGGGAGGCGGAGAGGGAGAGGGGAAGCAGACTCCCTGCTGAGCGCGGAGCCTGCCACCGCAATTGAGGGGCTTGATCTCCAGATCTGGAGCCCGAGATCGTGACCTGAGCCTTGACATCATGATCTGAGCTGAAACCAAAAGCCAGATGCTTAACCAACTGAGCCACCCAGGCGCCCCATCTTGTTAATTCTTAAAGTAACCTGTGAGGTAGATGATATTTCATTTTGTAGATGAGGAGACTAGGTCTCTGACCCATCCAAGATCACAAAACTAGTTATGGGTAGAATTAGGTTTGAATCTAATTTCTTTGACTCTGAAGATCATGCTTTAGTTCAAGAAAATTATTTAATTTCATTTATTCAATAAGTATTTATTGAACAGAAATTTCTTGGCATAACAGAACAAGTCTTAACATGTCTTCAATCTTCACTTTTAGGGATGTTTTCGTATTTCTTTCATATGCTTAAAGCAACAGACTATTGCAAGAATTGAATAAAATCAGGGCACCTGGGTGGCTCAGTCGTTAAGCGTCTGCCTTCGGCTCGGGTCATGATCCCAGGGTCCTGGGATTGAGCCCCACATCGGGCTCCCTGCTCAGCGGGAACCTGCTTCTCCCTCTCCTACTCCCCCTGCTTGTGTTCTCTCTCTCTCTCTCTCTCTCTCTCTCTCTCTGTCAGAGAAATAAATAAATAAATCTTTAAAAAATTTGAATAAAATCAGTTTAATGAAGAGCAGACCATAGATTTAGGGGTTTTTTTATATTTTTCATCTGAGTATTGTTGACACATAGATTTGGTTTTTATACAGTTGTTATTAATAGAAAATATAAAACAAACTGTACATACTCTTCAGAACTTTTCTGGAACTGAGTGGAACTTGAAAATGAAAATAATTGTAACTAGATGTTTCAAAAGTTATAAATCTTTCAAAGTTTTTTTTCTGTGTAGAAACCATCTTTATTTTTTTAATTTAAAATCAGTTTGTTAACATATAGTGTATTAGTTTCAGAGGTAAAGTTTAGTGATTCATCAGTTGCATATAACACCCAGTGCTCATTCCATCAAGTGCCCATTACCCAGTTTCCCCATCCCCTACCCACCTCCCCTCCAGGAACCCTCAGTTTGTTTCCTAGAGTTAAGAGTCTCTTTCTCTATTTTGCTTAGCATAATACCCTCTAGTTCCATCCACATCGTTACAAATGGTAAGATTTCATTCTTTTAAATGGCTAATATTCTATCAAAGTTCTGTTTTTTAGTTGTATATTACACTATCTATTTAAAAACAAGTAGGGGCACCTGGGTGGCTCAGTCAGTTAAACATCGGACTCTTGATTTCAGCTCAGGTCATGATCTCAGGGTCCTGGGATTGAGCCCTGTGTCAGCTGGGAGTCTGCTTGAGGATTCTTTCCCTCCCTCTGCTCCTCCCCCCATGTACACAGGCAGCACACACGAGCTCGCTCTCTCTCTCTAATTAATTAAATAATAGCAGGTATACTACATAAAACATGCTTTTATTTTTTTTAAAGATTTTATTTGAGAGAGAAAATGAGAGATAGCACGAGAGGGAAGAGGGTCAGAGGGAGAAGCAGACTCCCCGCTGAGCAGGGAGCCCGATGTGGGACTCGATCCCAGGACTCCAGGATCATGACCCGAGCCGAAGGCAGTCGCTCAACCAACTGAGCCACCCAGGCGCCCTAAAACATGCTTTTACAACTAGCCCCAAATAGCGTATATTTATCAGTGCAGCAACATATCCAAATCAATATTTGCACTTAGTATTTAACATCTTTGTGCCTCTGTGTTCTCATTTGTAAAGGGGGATAATTACCTACCTCATAGTAGAGTGTTAAGAACAATTTTTAGCACATTGCAAGTACTCAATAACTGTCATCATTGCTTTGATTTATCACCTTTAGGCATAACAAAGAATACAGGGGTCTCATTTGTGTTTCCTCATTCAATATAACTCATAGTTCTCCTTAAATAGATTATGCTGAAAAGTTAAAGAACTTCTGCCAGCTGGAAACTTTTGACAGATAGATGTTTGGTTCCTGGGTGATGGGCCATCACAGTGCCTAAAGCAGTTACACTACCCTTTTATAGCTTTTGAAAATTCTATGGTATATTCTGAGATGTTTGATGATTTCTCTCATTTTCTTGCCTTGGATGTGACAGGTGCACAATAACTTTTCATTTCCAGGCTGCATTATATAGGATAATCTTTTTGAAGGTATTTTAAGTGACAATTAGGGAATTTGTGTGAGTTAAAATTCGCCAGTGTTGCCAATGTCAGAACAACTGAAAAGTGACAATCAAATGAGTGGATGCCTTATAGTCATAGCCTAGTTTCAGTATATGGGGACTATAAAAACTAAGGCACACCTTAGTCCTCTCTTGGTGCTTAGCAGATTTCTTTTGACCTAGATCATAAGATTATCCTAAATTTAGAACAGGTAATATAAAAGAAGTCTTAGAATCGAAGAAATATGGTATGTAACTGGGAAAAAGTGCAGTCTTCCAAGTGAATTGGATAATCTTTTGTTCTTTCTGATGCTAGGTGTAACAATAGTAACAAAACTGTTGAGATACTGAAAGAACTGAAAGTTTGCTTTTATTGTGCAAATAGTGTTTTCATAGGGTGATAAAATGATCAATGTCAATTGCTCGATAGAACTACTTCCTGCTTTCTTCTTCGATGGATAAAACGGTCAGGTTATGGCACATTTCCAGAAGAGAATGCCTTTGCTGTTTTCAACATATAGATTTTGTCACTGCCATAGCTTTCCATCCAAGAGTAAGTAATTGTTTATATATATTTTTATTAGACTGTAAGGAAGGTGAAGGAACCTGGTTTCTCTGGAGGGCCGTAGGACTACAGGAAAAAAAAATTATTAACAGCACATAGTTAAGAACAACTTAATTTGGTCTTTTGCTTTACTTATGTATGTATTTATGTATGTATTTATTTTAAAGTAGGCTCCACACCCAGCATGGAGCCCAGTGCGGGACTTGAACTCATGACCCTGAGATCAAGACCTGAGCTGAGAACAAGAGTTGGACTCTTGGGGCACCTGGGTGGCTCAGTCATTAAGAGTCTGCCTTCGGCTCAGGTCATGATCCCAGGGTCCTGGGATCGAGCCCCGCATCGGGCTCCCTGCTCAGCGGGGAGCCTGCTTCTCCCTCTCCCACTCCCCCTGCTTGTGTTCCCTCTCTTGCTGTGTCTCTCTCTCTCAAATAAATAAATAAAATCTTTTTAAAAAGAAAAAAAAGAGTTGGACTCTTAACTGAGCCACCCAGGTGCCCCTCATTTTTTTTTTTAAGATTTATTTATTTATTTTGAGAGAGAGAGATACATGAGCGCGAGTGGGGAGAGGGAGAGAGAGAGACTCTCCAGCAGACTCCCCGCTGAGCACAGAGCCGGACAATGTGCAGCTCAATCTCACAACCCTGAGATTGTGACCTGAGCTGAAACCAAGAGTCAGATGCTCAACCAACTGAGCCACCCAGAGGCCCCTTAAGCATCTGACTCTTGATCTCAGCTTGGGTCTTGATCTCCAGTTTGTGAGTTTAAGCCCCACATTGGGCTATAAGCGTGTAGCCTACTTAAAAAAAGAGAAAAGGAAATATTCTGCTAATCTGTATTAGAACTGGAAATGTTATAGTCTAACTCTAAGAATGAAAAGCCATCCCAAATCTTTAATAAGATGTTCAGGATATAAATAAAATAATGTATCATAGTAAAGATGAGAGGTTGGAGATGGAAGAAGAGGAGACAGCAGGTGGATAAATAAGATAGGGAAGCATATAGGCAAGAATAGTGGGCGGGTTGGGGTGGGAAGAGACAAAGGTGGAGAGGTTGAAAGAGGCAAAGATCAAAATTCATTACAAGGTATACTGAATTCCTATTTAATGTCTGGAAATAGAAATACTGTTTTGGGGGTTTTTTTTTTGTTTTGGGGGGTGTTGTAGGTTTTTTATTTGTTTTGTTTTGTTTTAGTGAGCTCTGCACCGAATGTGGGGCTTGAACTCACAACCCCAAGATCAAGAGTCACATGCTCTACCGACTGAACCAGCCAGGCACCCCTGGAAATATTGTTAATCATGAGATCCATCTTAATTCATTTTCAATGTAGAAAATCCCTCAATATCTTTCCTCTGAAAAGGAAGTGTTTCATATAATTTCAACCAAAGGAGGAAAATTCATCTTGGAATTGCTGACCTATCTTATGTTCTTGTAGGATAGAGCCACCAAATGAGTAAGGCTAAATTAATTTTTGCTCTTTGCAACTATAAGCACAAGAGAAGTCCCATGCTGGTGCTGCTCCACTAGCTAGGTTGAAATAAGTGGAGGACTTGAGCTGACCTGACTTATCTAACTCCCCCATGTTGTTGTATAAATCCTATTTCTATTCATGTCCTCATCTCTCTAATTTTAACACCCACTGTCATGTTAATGCAACATTTTAGTTATATTCACATTTCTTCCTCTTTTTCCCCAGATTAAGAAAGAAGAATGACATTTTTCCCCCCTCAATATAATTTTCCTCCCTGGGCAGGCTTATAATATAGACAGTAATTTTGAACTCTTAGAAGACTTTGGTTACAAACTTTGGCAAATTAAAAATGCTTAATCTATGCTGATACCTTATCAGTTTTGACCATCAAGCTTTTTGAGGCTTCTTTCTGAATAACACTCCCATCCTGTCAGCCAAGGATGCAGCAAAAATATGGTTTTACTCCTGTCAGCAACTGTGAGCAAAATCCTTCCCTCACCTCTATTTTAACTATAATGTGTCAGGGTGGAAAGAAAGAGGTATTAGGTTGTGATAGTTATCTATGTAGTACTTTATTATTAAGGTTCCTGTTTTGTCAGTAGTTTTTCTATACTTATATTTGGTTTTATTTTGGAGACTGAAAAGCCCTAATTCTAAAATTCTGTAGATCCGAAGGATTTTTAAGAGGGGTAGCAAAGGATGGTGTGGTGTTAACATTTTCTTAGGAAACATGACTCTATTAAATAATGTTATCTGGAAGGAAGGAAGCAGAATTACAAAAGAAATAGCAAAATGAAGATAATACATGCACACACATACACACGTATGCATGTATGTAAATAAAATTCTGAATTGTAAGAGCAACATGAAGTTATTTTTACTTGTTCTGCTCTTCTTCTGGTAATCATTAAGTAGAGCTTACTATACCACAGCCATAAGAACGTCCTTTCTGTGTAGGCTGTCCTTGACAGGCTTCAGAGGTGAGGAAGAATGATAGTCTTGAGCAGAGAAGGGAATACTTCTTGTTTTGGCACCCCAATTATTTTACTCTTAATTCTTTTTTTTTTTAAGATTGTATTTATTTATTTGAGAGAGAGAGAGAGAGCATGAGAAAGGGGGAGGGTCAAAGGGAGAAGCAGGCTCCCTGCTGCGGGAGATTCGGGATGCAGGAGATTTGGGGTGCGGGACATGCGGGACTTGGATGCGTGCAGGACTCAAATGTGGGGCTCCATCCCGGGACTCGATCCCAGGACCCCAGGATCATGACCTGAGCCGAAGGCAGTCGCTTAACCGACTGAGCCACCCAGGCGCCCTTACTCTTAATTCTTATGTTATCAAAAATTAGACCAGCTTTGGTGATCATTTTTGCAACATATACAAATACTGAATCATTATGTTATACACCTGAAACTAATATGACATTGTCAATGATATCTCAATTAAAAAAAAGTTAGACCAGCTTAGTGGTATGCCTGGTTTAGTGTATAGCAGTGTTTCTCACCCTTTGTACTGTTGACATTTTGAGCTGGATAATTCTTTGTTGTAAAGAGAATAAAGTCTGTCCTGTGCATTGCAGGATGTTTAACGGGGTTCCTGTCCTCTACCGATGCCAGTAACATCCCACCCCCAGTTGTGACAGTCAAAAATGTCTCCAGACTTTGCTAGATGTCCCCTGTGGGGCCAACTTGCCCCCTGTTGATAAACCCCTGCTTTGGGATTGAGAATTTGAATATTGAAGCAATTTCCTAACTGACATGATGTCAAAATTCCCACAAAATAACTGGTTCTGTGGGCTAATCGGCATTAGTCTTTTATCCAAGTATTACGTGGATCCCAGAGGAAGATACGGATAAACGTATCATTACAGGATAGTTTTTCCCAAAGCATGTTCCTTGAAGGTGCTAGCCCTGCTAAGTTTTCTTACCGATTCCCTCCCAACCACAACACCCACCGCCCCCCCCCCCCAAAAAAAGGTCCCTGGTTATATAAGTTGGAAAATGCTACCTACTTTATTCCTCTTTTGGAGATTGAGAATGCATGTTAAGTGAGAATCCTCTTTAGCTTTCTGTAACCCAGAATCTCTCAAACTTACTTGAACCATTCTCCTACATGACCATTCTCCAACACATCATCCATTAACATCCATACCTTGGGAAAAGCAGTTTAAGGATATAATAAAGTAATTAGAAAGTCATTTTTCCAAAGTGAATACTGAAGTTTCTAATTGTCATTTTTCATGAATAAAATAATGCTTGCTTGGGGGTGCCTGGCTGGCTCCATCGGTAGAGCATGTGACTCTTGATCTCCTTGGGGTTATGAGTTCAGGCCCCACGTTGGGTATAGAGATTACTTAAAAATAAAATCTTGAAGAAGAATATTTCATAAATGGGATTTACATATTTTAAACATTTTTCTAATGGGCTTTATGTTTTGATTTGCTAATGAATTTTTCTTGATCTGGTAAAATGAGAGCTTTCTCTTTTGCAACATTTTTAGGATGACAGGTATTTTCTAAGTGGGTCATTGGATGGAAAGCTCCGTCTTTGGAACATACCTGACAAAAAAGTCGCTTTGTGGAATGAAGTAGATGGTCAAACAAAATTGATCACAGCTGCAAATTTCTGTCAGAATGGCAAATACGCCGTGATTGGGACATATGATGGCAGATGTATTTTCTATGATACAGAGGTAAATGATATCTTGTGTAAATTACATAATGAAATACTCAGCAGTTTCATATAAGTTGGTGTATCCTCTCTGGGCATTACAAATTGGGGCAAATAATACTATGCCTCTCTGCAAGTTGGATCAGATGATCTTTGAGGTTCTTTCTAATCCTCATATTTTAAATTTATGATTTCTTTTTAGCATTTGAAATACCACACACAAATACATGTCCGATCTACCAGAGGACGCAACAAAGTTGGAAGAAAAATTACTGGCATTGAACCTTTACCCGGAGAAAATAAGGTACTAAGTATTCAAAACCATCTCTCTTCACGCTATATATAGACTCCTGAAAATTCTTACTGTCTTGGCTTAAGAATATATTTTCTCTCATGTGGAATACAGCCTTTTCTAGTTTTGAGGTATATTCTCTCCGTGTATGTAATACCCTTTCTGATTATACCTTAACTTAGATAAAAAGATGGTACTTTTAACTTTTCTTTTGATTTCTTTTTAGATACTGGTAACCTCAAATGACTCCAGAATCAGACTGTATGATCTTAGAGATTTGTCACTGTCCATGAAGTATAAGGGTTATGTCAACAGTAGCAGCCAGATCAAAGCAAGTTTCAGGTAAATTGGCAATGAGAAATTCCCAAAGGAGATCAGAATATTTCTCCTCTACTCCCGTATTTTCTTTGATCTATGCCTTATGTTTATAGGGTGTTTTTCGTTTCTTTGCACTTTTACAACTGATTGCTCACGTTATCATCATGCAGTACTTACCTTATCCACCTGTTTAGTAGACAGAGTTGGAATTGCCCCTATTCTGCAGACAAAGAAACCAAGACTCAGAAAATGAAGTACAATCACTGGTAGTTGCAGAGTTGGGATTAGAAGACTCACTCCCGGCTCTCCGGCATTTGTGCTTTTGTACTTCTGTGTCAGCTTTCTAAGAGGAAACTTACCTGCCACCCACCCGTGGTCTTTATCCTTTTAGGTACTGAAGCTCATAAAGCATTTTAACATCCTAAAGTACGGTATCCTGTAGTCACCCCTTTACATAACGTTATTATTTGAACTCTTAATTTGGGGTCTGCAAGCTCTCCTGAAATAGCTGCCTCCTCTTCCTTAGAGCCCTCTTTCATTCGGCCCTGTTCTTAACGGTCCTCCTTTCTGCTTGCGTTACCCAGTAATTCCTGAGAAATGTAATTGGTAACGTGTTCTGCTTCTCTCTTTCATCTCTTAAGTAGGCGTTTCTCCTTGTGTGGGTTAACTAGCAGCACAGTTGTCTCGAGCTTTAATGAACATCCTTGTGCCTCTGGGCTCCATGGCAGACCTGCATGTCCAGAACCTCTGGAGTGAGACTAGGAGTCTGTATGTCAACAAGCTCTCTTGGGTGTTTCCTTATGTATTTTAAAGCAGGAAGTGCTGATAGAGGGAAACCTAAAAAAAAAAAAAAAAAAAAATTCCCAAAACTGATTTTTTTTTTCTTTCTTTCCCAAATTTAGCCATGATTTTAGTTACCTTGTTAGTGGCTCAGAAGATAAGTATGTTTATATCTGGAGTACTTATCATGACCTCAGCAAGTTTACTTCAGTCAGGAGAGATCGTAATGATTTTTGGGAAGGTATTAAAGGTAAGTAAATGCCCACTTCTGTGTGTCTTCTAAGTGAATAGAGTTAATGTGGAGATGTATCACAAGTAAATTTGTATAGGCATTATTTCAGACAGTTTGGCAGTTATAACCGCTCTTGCTTTGTATTTGGCTTTGATTTTTCTGTACCAAGGAAGAACTTGTACAGGCATACCTCATTTTAATTAAGGTGTGTACATTGTTTTTGTAGACTTAATTCTATTGCACACTAATTGACTACAGCATAGCATAGACATAATTTTTATACATGCACTGGGAAACAAAAATGCATTTGACTTGCTTTATTGCAATATCCGCTTTTTTACAATGATCTGGAACAAAACCTGCAATATCTCTGAGGTATGCCTGTATGTAGTATTTTTTTTTTTACCATAAATTTTTGGATTTTAAATAGTTCTTAATTACTTATGCGTTAATTTTAAAGGATATTAGCTTATAACATACACTATTGTATTTTTTGCATATGATACTTTCTGTCTTGATGTTTAGAATCAAATTTATTAGTTATCCTGAAGTAAATTTTTTTTCCCCAGCACATAATGCAGTTGTTACATCAGCCATCTTTGCTCCAAACCCAAGTTTGATGTTGTCTTTGGATGTACAATCTGAAAAATCAGAAGGGAATGAAAAAGGTGAAGATGCTGAAGTTTTGGATACCATGCCCTCTGGTAGGTACTCATACTTTATTTGACCTACATTTTTTTCTAGTCAGCACTTAGTAGCCTCATTGACCTACATTGGGTATTGTGAGGTTTTCATGTGTATGAAGAATATTTCTTGTTTACAACATAATTGTTGTGAGTATCCCTTTCTAAACATTTCAGTAACCTATTTCTTGCAAGTTTTACTTCATTTAAATCTACCTTCGAATTAAAAATGAAAAATTTGAAAGTTCTTTTTTTTTTTAAGGTTTTATTTATTTATTTGAGAGAGAGCACAAGCGGGGGTGGGGGAGGCAGAGGTTGAAAACAGACTCCCCGCTGAGCAGGGAGCCTGATGAGTGCTCCATCCCAGGACCCTGGGATCATGACCTGAGCCGAACACAGACACTTAACCAACTGAGCCACCCAGGTGCCCCTATTATTTTTTTTTTTTTTTTAAGATTTTATTTGAGAGAGAGAGAGAGAGAGAGATCATGAGCAGGGGGTGAAGGGTAGAGGGAGAAGAAGCAGACTCCCGCTGAGCAGGGAGCCCAGTGCGGGACTTGATCCAATCATGACCTGAGCTGAAGGCAGACACTTAAATCGACTGAGCCACGCAGGTGCCCCAGAAGTTCATTTATTTTTATGGGCAGTTGTTCCCCTTGGAGAAATGCAAACAAGACATAACAAATACAAAATTTCTTTATTATCTGTCTTCTCATAGACTGTCATTCTGAGGACAGAGACTTATGTCCTATATATTGTTGTAATGCCAGTGCTTGCCTGCATATAGTTGGTCCTAATAAGCATGTGTTGAACAAATGAATTAAACCAAATGGAAGTAGTGTCCTTTTCTTCTTGCCACAAACTCCCCAAGCCAGGGAAAGACCGGCTAAGACACGGTAAGTGGAAGTAAGCCTCAGAGAGGAGGAGAGTACCGGAGAATGAAAGGATTACGTAGGAGCAAGCTGAAAAAAAGAGACTGAGGGGCACCTGGCTGGCTCGGTCAAGGGAGTGTGCGACTCTTGATCTTGGGGTTGTGAGTTTGAGCCCCACTTTGGGTGTAGAGATTACTTAAAAACAAAAAATCTTGGGGGGGAACTGAAAACTGGGGGAAAAGGTGTAGGCTCATTGGCATGTGACACAACAGCAGGTTTTATATTCAACTCAAAACTTTTTTTTATGCTTTTAAGGTATTATGAAGACAGATAATACAGAAGTTCTTCTTTCTGCTGACTTCACTGGAGCAATCAAAGTGTTTATTAACAAAAGGAAAAATGTATCTTAATTTGAAATGACATTTAAAATAAAAATATCAGTAAGTTTCTATATGTATTAGAACTGAAAAAAGTATATTATAGTGTTTCAGGCTAACATCCTTTTTTTTTTTTAATTTTTACTGGAAGTTGTTCAAATATAATATATTTTTTGAGCGGCAGTGTTAATGATCTATAAACCCTGGACTGATAGACAGAAATGTGGCTAGAATAACATTGCCAAACATTAGGCTTTATGTTTTGTTATATTTGTGTTTTTGTTATATAATTGTGAACATGCACAGGTTTCTGCATGAAAATATATTAATATATTAATCACATGTGTGTGCCTTTTGGTTACATGCACTAAATCTAACAGAGTTAAATTATTTCAGTGGCCCTTTTGGCCTCATACAGGGAGGGGTGAGTCTTGTTTCTAGCTTAAATGATTTCTTTTGCACAAAACTTCATTTTTCAGAAAAGTGGTATTGACTGAGTTACTGTTTTAAAAATGTTATACAGGTTTTCAATAGGTCAACAACCATGTGTAAATGGTTTTTATAAATTTCTCAATTTGGGGACAAGATTTTTTTTTTTGGTCTAAATTGTGGACTTAAGATTCTTTTCTTTGTATGTATATATAATCTTTTTTTCTTTTTTTTCTCCCTTTTTTTTTTTTTTTTTCTTTTTTTTTTTTTTTTTTTTTTGCCACACTGGAGCACAATGTTTCTATGTAAAGAATTCTTTTCATTCTTTATCCATGAGCACCAGGCTTTGCTCACTTAAAAAAATTAAGCCACATTAAGGAGTGAGTCTTCTTTTTTACAATAATGTAAAAATGAACTGTTTACATTTTTTTAAAGCATTGTAGTTTTAAAAATTAAGCTGTTTTGTTTTGTGTTGTTGAATTTGAAAGCCTTTGTAAATATTGATATAATGTACCAATGAAATAACATCGGGGGCAATGGAACCCTGATCATGTTGTTGATGGTTAGCATATGTTTCTGAAAATTGAATATGTATTATTAAAAGTTGGTCGCCAAACACTTGTTAAATATGTGACTTTATTTTCACATGACTTTGGTAAACTGAGGAATGTAAGAAAAACAAAGTCTTGTTTTATACTTTGATTTTTAGCAAGCAGAAGACCAGATTTTGGACCCCTAAGTTATAATGCATTAGCCACATGCCTTTAAGAAAAAATTTTTTTCTAATTCTAAAATGAACACTGCTAAGAGTTCATCTGTGTGCTTATGTGTTCTTTACTGCATTTGTTTTCGGTATCTGAGTGAGAAGCTGGGAAGCCATGATCATATCCTTATTAATCAGCATGGTCTTGGAGTGTTCTGGATATTCTAATTCATTACGTATTGTTTGCCTTGGTTTCACCCCTATGCTGCTTTCCTCCTCTTGCCGGTGCTGTGCTCTCCCCACTCTCTGCTTGCTCTTCTGTACCCTACCTGACACATGGAGTTGTTAAGCCATTGGCTCTGTAACCAGTCTATTTCTTTAGTCTCAAGATCTGGCTGGCAAATGGATTGATCTAGTTTTCAGAGAATTTGATGTCTTCAACTTTTTGAGGCAGCTTGGCTTTCAATGACTGCTGCCTGAAGACTTAGAGTCTGCTGTGGTGCTAATCATTTCGGTTGCGGATAATTGGGGCATTGCCATATGAATATTTCCTGACGGGTTTTATGCGGTTTCCGGAACCAAAAGGCAAAAAATAGTTGGGATGCAAGTTTGAAAGAATAATACTAACATTTCTAAGTTTAGTTTTTAAAATGTTTGCTGTCATGCAGATTTACAAGTCAGAAGGTGAATTTCAAAACATAGAATCAAGGTGTATACTAAGAAAAACTGATTAATATTTCTCCCTAAAATGAGTATTAGAAACTCACTATAATATGTGGTGTGGAAGAAAGAGCGCAGATTGTAGAATCAGATGAACTTAGATTTGGCCCCTCTATTAGTACATTTTTTGGATAAGTTATTTATCCTGTATTAATTTCCATTTCCTTGTGTATAATATGAGAACACCTAACCGAAATTATAAAGATTTACTGAGAAATCATGTATGTATAAAGCTTGGTGCCTAGCAGGTAAGTGTTCTCAACAAATGTACATTTCTCACTGCCTTTCCCAAATCCCTGGGTGCCCACTAGACCCTCTTCCCCCATAAAAAAGTATATAGAAGTGCCTTCTAGACATCTGAGATTTCATTGATGAATAGCCTTTTAGGGATTGACATAAGGCACCAACTTTTTTTTTTTTTTTTTTTTGCCAACTTGACACTTCAAACCATCTACCATCACCTCTTCAGAAAAGAGAACACTTTAATAGTTAAAAAAAAAGTTAAGTACAATCTTACCATCTTAGAGCAGTGAACAATCTATCAAAGTGAATAAACCTAGCTTTTGAAAAAAAAGTAACCATATTCTCTTATTTTCCAATTTTTCCATCTGTGTATTAAAAGCTTTTTGAAAAGTCATTTTGAGCTTTTTTTCCCTCTCATTTACCTTAATTGGAATTAAAATATTAATGACTCAACATAATTTAGCATGCCACTTTCTCTGATCTTCAAATGGTACAGCTGGGCAGTGACTTTTTATTCTTTGAAATATATGTTTAACAATATATTATCCCTCAGATCCCGATTTCAATTGTGTAATTTTGAGAATCAGAGGCCAGATAGCCCCACTCGTGGAAAAAAATCATCAGAATATTTTTTTAAGCATTTCAGTTATTTTTAATTAAAGAAAAACAGCCTTTTCCAAGGGTTAGAATATTTTTAAATAACTTCAATTACTATGGGGATTCAAGGTAAAGACTATTTGGGATTTAATGTTTCCCCATAACTTCTCAAAAGAAAGGCCTTTCCAGTTTTACTGGTGTCTAGCTCTCTGACTGACTTATTCATTAAGCAAATGTTCATTGAACACCTACTATATACAGAGCGCTGCTGGGACTAGGGAAGAATAAGGCAACATTCCTGTGCCAGAAGAGCTCACAGTCTGGTGGAGAAAGATGCACACAGAAACAAGTAAGAGGCTTGGAACTGTCTTGTGTGGCTGTGGCCCTAGAAATGCCCCTTCTAACCCTAACCCGTCTGCTCCACCCTTCCTAGTAACTCGTGGCAGCCACTTGATCTCAGGCCAATCTTCGTTCATCTGATATTACCAGCAGCAAGCATAATATGGGCAACAGAGTTTATAAGTAAGCCAGAGGTAAGGCAGAGAAAATGGATTACCCACCGTGGCGACATTTTCCCTCGTCTCTGGTCCTCTCCTCCCAGCCTGAAATCTTTGTCTTATTTCCCCCAAAAAATCTTAACTGTCTTTTGCTTTGAGCTGACTCCAGCTTAATAGACCCCTCCCCTCAACTGCTCTCTTCCCTTCGGTTCTGAAGCTTTGCCTGTTTTGTTTTGTTCTGTTTTGTTCTCTAGATTTGAGTCATCTGTGCTCCTGGGGAACCCAGGCTCCCTTTGTTAACCACAGGCACTCTTCTGGCATAGATTTATGCACATGAAATACATTCAGGTTGATGCAGCAGGGTCAAGGGAGGTGGGAGTGTAAACATGAAGGGAAAGATCTATCACAGAGTCCCAAATGCCATCATGTAAGTTACCTAGGGTGGTCCCAGCAGATAGTTTGCTCATACATCCGGCTACCCTGCATTACTTTCTTTTAAATAAAATTTTTATTTTGGAATAACTTTAGATTTACAAAAAGGTTGCAAGATAATACAGAATTCCCATATACTCCTTTCTCAGTTTCCCCTAATGTTAACGTCTTAGATTACCATGGTGCATTAGTCAAAACTAAGAAATCAACCCTAGTACATTATTATTAAGTAAAGTCCAGACTATTCAAACTGCACCAGTTTTTCCACTAGTGTCCTTTTTCAGTTCTAAGATCCAATACAGAATACCATATTGCATTTAGTCATATTATGCTTTTTTAATTTAAATAAACATTTTATTTTAGAACATTAAGGGGCGCCTGGGTGGCTCAGTCGGTTAAGCGCCTGACTTGATTTTGGCTCAGGTCATGATCTTGGGGTTGTGGGATCGAGCCCTGTGTCGGGCTCTGCTGTGCTCAGAGTGGAGTCTGCTAGAGATTTTCTCTCTGCCCCTTTGCCCCACCCTCAAATAAATAAATCTTTTTAAAAGAAAAAGAATAGTTTAAGATTTTCAGGAAACTTTGCAAAGAGGTCGTCTCCTATACCACTTTCTCTGTTGTTAACATCTTACATTACTGTGGTACATTTTTCACACTAAAAAACCAACATTGGTACATTACTACTAACTAAACTGTATGCTTTATTCAGATTTCACTGGTTTTTAACCTAATGTCCTTTTTCTGTTCTGGGATCTCATCCAGGATATGATATTACATGTGGTTGTCAAGTCTCCTTAGGCTCCTCTTAGTCATTACGGTTTTTCAGATTTTTCATGCTTTTGATAACCACAACAGTTTTTGTTGAATGTCCCTGGGTTTGAGTTTATGTTTTTCCTCAGGATTTGACTGGGTTTATGGACTTTGGGAGAAAGACCACAGAGGTAAATTGCTCTTTTCATTACATCACATTAAGAATATGTACTATCAACATGACTTATCACCTAGCTGAGGTAGTGTTTGTCAGGTTTCTCCACTATAGAGTTATTTTTTTCTTTCTTTCTATAAATCTGCTCTTTGGAAATGAATCACTAAGCACAGCCCAAACTCAAAGGGTGGAGAGGAGTTAAGGCCACCTCCTCAAGGGGCAAGTAGCTATGCAACTTATTTGGCATTGTTATGTGCGGGAGATAGGTGTCTTCTCCCTCATTTATTTATTAACTCAACCCTTTATTTATGTTACCATGGGCTTGTATTTATTTTATGCTTTGAGTTTTAAACCAATACTCTTATTATTTTGTTGTTCAATTTGTTCCAGCCCTTAACGATTAAGAATTCTTTCAAGGTGCCTTCTGTGTCCAGTTGACATCCCTTTTTTTGAGCATTTCTTTACTTTCTATCACTCCAAGATGCTCCAGGCTCATCTTAAATATTTTCTGCCCCAGCCATTTAATCAAGGAACCCTGGTTCCTTTTATTGGAGAAGGGTATTAGAAACCATGATCTGGGTGGTAGATGTGCTCGTTGCTACCAGGTGTCATTTCTCAGGCTTTCTCAGCTGGCAGAGCAAAGAAATAAATGTGTATATGCTAATATCTGTATATACAAATTATAAATATTTCTCTGTAACTTTCGATATTAAATATGAGTTATCGATGTCTCTGACTAATCCAATGGACTAATCCATTAATACATAGGTCATTCTAGTTTCCTCTAATGGCTTATCAGTAACCTCCTTCTCCAACAGTGAGAAACCTGGCTCCCACCATTTACTATCCATTTACTTATTCAATCCCAGCATAACACATTCAGTAGTTTCAGAATTGGTGACCCAAACCCCCATGAGAAACAATTTTACCAACAGGAGTACAGTTTTTACATATAGTCCTTTATCTTTGGTGTCATAGTTTCTGGTCACAACACTGTTTTCTAAAGTTACTTAGATGAGCACCTTTCCCCCCACCCACATGATCATTAGATTAAGTTATCTGTCCCTTTATAAAATCATTTGGGATTTGATGACGTATGTAGCCATCTTTATTTAATATGTAAGCTGTGACATTTTTCTGTAGAGCACTTCCTGCCTTGCTTTCAGATGCTTAGCATTTTCCTAAAGCAGTTTTACAGTTCTGTTACTGCACTTGAGGTTTCACACATTCAGCAAACATTGCTTAGTCTGTGTCAAGATCTTGAGGAAGTCTAATAGGAGAAACAAACAAGAATGTAATTCTGTTAAGACTGTGTTTACATGATTAAAGGGGTCATATCTGGTTTTCTTACCTCAATGCCAAACTATTTATGGGGGGAGAGGGGAATGTATATGTGTATATTCATGTATATAAGTAATTTATATGTAAAGAAAAGAATTTATAAAGAATATATAAGTCTATATATATGTATAAAGAATGTCAGGTTACCAGAAACCCACTTCTC